TCAAGCCGTAGGCTGTATTATTTAAAATGGCTGCTCACTGATACACTTTCGAAAATGTGGACACTTGTTTCGAAGCTCTGAATATGAAATCCAAATTACTAACACTTCCCTGGTGTTTTGTGTAAAAATTCAAAGAGTTTTTTTGTTGATGTATGCATTGTGTGTGACCCCAGCCGGTTGGTCTGTGCTCCCCATCAGCTATGGTTGCCTTCAAACTGGCTGTGACAGATTCTATAGATTCTCCGGTTGACATTGTTTCTGATTATCTTTGCAACTAAGCTGCAGACCTAACAGATTTAGTTATACAGGAAAAAATCTCTTTAGCTTCATATTTGTATAGGAGTCCATGCTGTTTGTGTGAATGTTAGCTATGTAGGATGCCACATAACAATTTAAAGTTGGTCTTGTGGACAGTTAGCTAGTGTGTGCATGTAAGCATACATGTACGTAAACATGAATAACTTCATTCTGTGACTACTTAAAGCTGAAGATCATTTAAATTTATTTTTTCTTTGTGTGTGCAAGTAAACATATTTTTCAAATTCCAGGAAGAATAATAGTTATGTAGTGATCACGTTTTTCTAAATATGAAAGAATAGCAACAGTGGTTGACTGGTTGACAGTAGTGACTGAGGGTTGGAAAAATAATATATGTAGAAGCAAAGTGCTTTTGTTCTAAGAGAAACATACGTATGTCCACTGACAGATTTTTATTTCAAATTTGCATCAGTGACAAGCATGCAGGGTTTGTGGTGGGTTTATATATATTGCAGTTATCCCCCCTCTATGAGAGTTTGAAGTGGGTTTCTTTCCCATGTGCTCGGTTTTACATAGGTAAAATGGGAATAATGACACTGACCTCCTTTTGTGCTTTGAAAGTGCTGCTGAGAAACATTATATAAGAATTGAGTATTATTATACAAATCATGCTAGTTTGATCCATCTCTGCTGACCTTTTTCATCCATGCAATAAGATTACCGTGACTAGGAGGCTGATGGGTCTCATTGTGTTCAGCTTATAACTGTACGCACTGCTGTTTTTCAGTGGAACATAAATCAGTGTAACCTATTTGGGGCATTTATGTGGAATTTGATCATATTTAAAGCTCTTACAATTGCTATGTGATAAAGTATATATAAATAGCTTGGTGATGTTTCAGCTTGAAGTTGAATACAGAAATCTGTTGAATATTTTTTTAGATGATCTACAAACTGTGACATCTACATCGTCCTACTACTTTTTATATGCTGTTTTATAAATAAGACTTGAAAAGAGTGTTTCTGTTGATGCTTGCAGTTTTGTAATACTACCTTGCCTTCAAAACCTTAGAAATTACTAGGTCTTGAGCAAACAGAGGTGCACTAACATCAAAAATTTGGTGTAAAATACAGCTAGTCATCTTAATGAGCAAGTGCCTGCTCTCAGAGCCGATTGTACTTGTGTTGGCAGTTTCCAGTTTGTGGTGATGGTTGTTTTTTAATTGTGCTGGGACTGGTCCCGGCCAGCTCCAGGCCTTTCTGTGGTAGCTGTGTTGCACAGACCTGGGCTGCCACTGTGCAAGGGCCGTGGGCCAGATGGGGTGCTCTTGGAAGATGCTCTTTGTTTAGAGAAGAGTAGTGCCACTGGTGACACTGACTGCAAAATCTGTTGTGGTTGGGGTGCTGGTGTGCCCTATTTGGAAGTGCATTATCTTTTTGCAGCAACTAACTGAATCAACTATCATATTTGCTGTGAAGAGAGATGGGACGGGAGTGTTTGGAGCAGTTGAGGTCACATGAGTATCTGGACTATGACACTATTTTTGAAAAAAAAAAAGACGAGAGGGAATATTTATAAGTGATAAAACTTTGTTTACCATTTTTTCAACTGCTGACAAACACACAGAATGATCTCTTGTTGTGAAAAATTTGGTTGCTCTTTCTTTCTACCCATGGTGTATAAGAGACACCTTGCTCATGAAAAGAAACTCATCCCTTTCCATCCTGTCTGTGTTTAAAAGTCAACACATTCGCATATATATATTTGCCCATAAAGAAATTTAAAAGTAAGGACAAGGGCAGGGAAACATTTATTTGAAAACTTGATCAACTCTTAAGATCATTTTGACGCTGCTGCTGCTAAGTGGAGGATTTGTGTAGGGATTACAAGATGACGATCTTTCTTACTGACAGTAACTCTAGCCAAAAAGACTTCTAGACATATATTGTATGTAAGCAGCTCTCTTTTTAAAGTCAAGATCAAGTAATTGGAACGACCCTTGTATTGGCTAAAGTTGTCCTAATGGTGACTTTATACATTTGTCTCGGTAGCCTTGTGAATGAAGGCACGGTGCAGCAGTAGCTCTTAATTAGTGTTTTTCCCAGGACTGCTACAGTCGGTCTGGTGGTTGTGTGGTTTTGGCCATGGGTATTGTATTTTTAAGCTACAGTTTGTAGAGAGTCTGCAGGTGCGTGCAAGGGGGGGTTCAGGGGTGTGTGTATCTCTGTACACGTGCATACATACATTAAAAACTGTCGGTGCAAAGAGATGACAATCTACATGCCACGTGTTGAGAAACAAGCAAGCGGTGTGCACAGCAATTGGTGTGGGACAGTGGGTAGACCTGTACACTGGATGGTGCACCAGCAGAGCCAGTTGTACGGTACCATGAGGCTGACACGTCCTGGTCTCGCGCTGTGAGGCGTGACGTTCTGTGCCTCTTGCAGGCCAGGAAGTGTCACAGGAGACAACTCTGTGATGTAGCCCTGTGGTAAGAGAACTGCAAGCCAAATGCTGACGTTTCAGAGTTTTACTGCACTTTGCCATGTGACCTTATGTTGTTGGCACCAGAGAAAATAATTTATTTCTTTTCCCTGGTAAGAAAAGGGGCAAGGAGAAATAGCATGAGAGCTGATCTTGGAGAAAAAGGGGTCAAAAGTTTCAGCTGCAGCAGAAAAGAGGAAAATTTCTGCAGCAGTACTGGGAAGTGACAGGCATCTCACTGATGACAACAGCCTGCAAAGGGAGGGGAGGCTAGGTTTTGGTGAGAATATGCTAGCACAGCTTAGCAAATCCTGTAGCAAAAGTAAAACTGACAAGTAACTGGCCAGTTTGGAGCACTGTTTTGAGCTCAGAATGTGAACACAATGTATGTAAATCATTAATTACTGTTGTCTTGTGCACTCTGGTACTACCTCCTGAAAGGTATTTCATAATAGAACAAGGATTTACTGTGGGGCTGGGTTTGCGAGAGTGTGAGTTTTGGAAGGTTTTTTTTCTAGGTCAGCTAGGTGGCTGAATAAATTTTCAATTTATTGAATAAAGAAAAAACAAGCTTCTTCTGAAGATGTTCTCATGTACACATCTGCCTTTTGGAAAATTAATATTTAGTAGTAGTGTTATTCCAGGTGCCAAAAAGAATTTACACAGAACATTAGGACTTCCTTGTCTCAAATTGTAAATATTTCTCATATCAGTGTTCATTTTTTATAAAGGTAAGATTTTGCATATGTCTACATCTTTTCTACTTCTGTGATGTAGCTACAGAAGATCCTTTTTTTAAGTAGTAGTGGTCTCTCAATTATGTTGCTTCTGCTTCGTGTTACAGAGAAGTTACACTGTGGAGTTTATGATTTTCCAGTTACCTCATGGCAGAACATAGGTGTAGTAAAATAAAAAAAAGTTTAAAAAAAACCCCACCACCAAAAAACATGGTTCAGGACCAAGTGGGAGGAGAAAAGTGGGCAGTGGAGGAGAGCAGGTTATATGAGAAAAGACCAGGGAACAGAGATGTCGAACACCAGAGTCAGCTTGGGGACCATCTGGGCTAAGCTGACCGTTGGCCGGCTGCTGTGGAAGGAGGAGGGCAGGGCAGTGGTGAGGGCTGGTGTCTGTGCTGTTCTGAGGGAACCCGTCACCTCAGGTGCCTTCAGTTTCTGGCTGCTAGTGCCAGAGAGCGTAAGTAGCTCTTCAGGAGCCAATCCTTGTCCTTACAGCTTGTCACCCCAGGGGCTGACTCTGGATGACGAGGCAGTGGCAGCTCTTCCTTACCTTTGATTCTACCTCCAGACGCACCACTGTCGTGCCCCGTTTGAATAAGGCTGTGCGTAAGAGTGAGGGGAGGTATTTGATTGATAGAGTCCCAGCTCTCTTGCTTCAAATCTGTCAGAGGAAATCTGTAGGGGGCGGGACCTGCTCCTGCCACAATGTCCGTAGATAAATAAGCGTGTTCACCGCTCTGAGTGGCTTGTGTATAACAGTTTGAACTCTCAGGGGCTAGTGGTAGTGCTGCATGACAGTTTAGATGAAGACATGTGAATAATCAAGATTACAAGATAACAATTTGGAATCAAGGAGGAGCAGCAGCATTTGTGAGGGTCTCAGCATAGAGCTGCGCTCCTCTGTGTGAAGGCAGGATGAGTTAGATCCATAAGTGATCTGGGGTCACAAAGACAACAAACATCTTGGGATGAGAATGCACTGGCTTAGAGCTGGCGTAGTTGGCTTTATCTTGACGTCCAGCTGCCTGCTCTGTTACTTTAGGTAACGTGTAAAGGCGTCGTTTGCTCCATCTGTATAGGCGTGCTTGACTGATGCTTGTGGAGTACTTCAGTCCAATGAGGAATGGTTAAGGCTATGAAGATACAGGGATACGTATTTTGTACGTGTGCTTACGATTATAAATAGGCTTTGTATGCCAACTACTTCCTCGAAGTATGCTCATTAACTTAATGCTGAGGTGTGGCAGGCTGTGTGCTCTTTCTCTTAGGCAAGAAGAAATTGTCTCTGGAAACAAAACACTAACACGAAATTTTAAAGGTGAAAGAGTGAAGTCGTAGTTTTGTGAGGTGTCCTTGTGACATCTGCTAAAAGGTCTGGGGGCTTTTACATGAGGGTGTGTTTGCAGGCAAAAAAGCTAACCTGATTCCAAAACGTTAAAGTGATGTGAGAATTTACCAACGTGTTCTTCATAGGTTACTAAGGAAGTAATTTAAAACTCTCTTTTTACTGCTTTTTTTAGGTAATATTTCAATAATCACATTACCGGTTTCCAGCACCAACTCCCCAACTAAGATTTTGCCAAAAACCTTAGGACCAATCAATGTGAATGTTGGACCCCAAATGGTAAGTTTTGCAACTCCAGCAGTGCTAACTGGTGCAACTGGCTGCGTCGCTTCCTGCTGGTATAATATGGAAAGATGA